GGAAGGAATCCCTTCCGGCCATCGAGATTGTATGGTCCCAATGACCGGAGGGAATCCCTTCCGGTCATCAATGGTCTCGATGACCGGAAGGGATTCCTTCCGGTCATCGAAATTCGAATCGTCTCGATGACCGGAAGGGATTCCTTCCGGTCATCAAAATTGCAATGGTGTCAATGACTGGAAGGGGTCCTTCCGGTCATCAAATGGTCTTGATGACCGGAAGGGATTCCTTCCGGTTGATGACCGGAAGGGATTCCTTCCGGTTGATGACCGGAAGGGATTCCTTCCGGTTGATGACAGGAAGGGATTCCTTCCGGTTGATGACCGGAAGGGATTCCTTCCGGTTGATGACCGGAAGGGATTCCTTCCGGTCATTGAGACCATACAATCTCGATGGCCGGAAGGGATTCCTTCCGGTCATTGAGACCATACAATCTCCTCAATGGCCGGACGAGACTGTACAGTCTCTGATGATCGGAAGGGACTCCTTCCGGTCATCGAGACCATACAATCTTGATGGCCGGAAGGATCCCTTCCGGTCATTGAGAAACTGCACAGTCTCAATGACCGGAAGTTATTCCTTCCGGTCTTCGAGACCATACAATCTCTATGGCCGGAAGGGATTCCTTCCAGTCATCGAGACTGTACAGTCTCGATGACTGGAGGGAATCCCCCCCCGGCCAGTGGGAGGGAAGCGACTCCCAAACCTCCCACTTGCCAAGGAGGTTTTGGGTCCCGACTCCCACCCAAAAAAATAAAAAAAATAAAAATTGGATTGGGAGGTCGACTCCCAATCCCCCAGGGGGAATTGGAAAGACGACTCCCGTCCGACGACCCCTCGACCAATATGGGAGTCGTCGTCAAATTTTTGGGAGTCGTTTTTCCAACCCCCTATTTTTATTGTATCTTAGTTGATATTTCTATATTACTTGTCACTGTCAAGAGTGTTACTACAGGTGTTACACTCTTGCCTGTTGACACTGAGGCTCACTAAACTCGCATCTGGAAAAATCATGTGAATCCCGCTATTGAGGAAGCCTTTGTTGGGGTTAATTTGCTCATGTTATCATCAGATGGCACATGCCCTGGTGACTAGGATTTGGCAACCATGCTCCTGAAAACAAACTGTAGGGTTTGGGATTATGGTGGGGCTATGTATACTGGGGTCCTAGAACAAGTGAGGAAAATGAGATGGCAGCAGAGTAGTGATCCAGCTGGTAGACTGGTGCCACTGGTCCTTCTTGACTTGTGCCAATCCACAGGTGGCAAGCCTCAATTAATAATTGATAGGAAGATTTTCTGCATTATTATCATCAGGTTAAGTCTGTTTTCCTCTGGATAAGGTCTAATGCTGTTATTCTGGCTATGAAGGATTGAAAAATGTTGCAATATACATTTCTGAGGGAGAAAGAAATGTGCAATCATGAAAGGGCAGTTCACAGTAAATTAGGCTGTTCAAAATTGATTTTTAAACTACTTCCTACATAAAATCATAAACCCTACAGGCCCAAGAAATCAACATTATCTCTATTTGAGGCTTCTCTCAAACCTTTTGTAAAGTTTATGATTTTATGTAGAATGCAGTTTAAGAATCAATTTTGAACACCACAAATGAACATGGATGGTTGATGAGAGCTGTGAGTCCAACCAAATGAATGGGAAGTGTAAATCTTAAGCTGATCAATGAATTTTCCAAATATTCTTACATATTTATATCAAATTAGGGTCTTCAATGCAGCTATGACTTACAAGGCCAGTTTGTTTATATCAAGGTGTGTTGGTGTCAAACACTGACTGCAATAAGTTTTTACTGTGAACAATGATGCAAATAATCCTGACCAAATTCTGACAATCTTTTCACAGACCCCATCCAAGCGGTTGGCAGTCTTTTCTTACAACTTACAAAGCATTGTCGTGTCCACAGCTCGCTAGAGTCGGTCGGAGTTCTATGACTTTGCAGCCTTTTTTTTATAAATCTTCAACTTCAGCTGCTGCCTCGTTGTAACATTGATCAGACTCTTTGCTCAAGTTTCAGTCGATTATGATACAATGCCTATTGGCTCGGCTATTATGTAATGAGCCGGATACAAGCAGGATTGATCTTGTGATCTTTGGCCAAAACGTTTTCAATGGAAGATTTTTTTGTTGCAGCCTCGGGCTGAGGAAATCAAAACCAGTCGGGACTCCAGGTTTCTTCGCCAGACTCCCGGTGCCTCTTGTTCCGGCTGCTCAGCTGATGGCAAGGTACTAAAGCAAATATCAAGCTGAATTCTGTCCGATCGGCGAGGACTTTTTTAGTCTGTCTCACAAGGCGTCACATCGAGGAATTTCCCTTACGTGTTCATGCTTAATTTTGTACGTCCTTTGCTTTAATTTTTTGTTGTTTCATGAGTTTATCCTCATAGAAATTCCCCGAGACTGTGTGCCCAGGGAGTGAGTGGCTTGAAAGTCAAGGATTCCAAGGCCGGGTTTTCTCTTGAGTGGTTTGCTATCCACACTCCATGAGTCCCAAACTTCTACTTCGGCCGTACTCGAGATGTGTCAGCTGAAGTCTGACCCACCCCGGTGTGAACCCATGTGTACATGTGACTAACAGCTGAAGAGCAAAAAGCAGAAACAAATCTATTACACAAACAGCCCCAAACAAACAAACAAACAAACAACCAAGCAACCAAACGGAAACCTATTGATCTATTTTAAATATCACTTGGCAATACTAGACGTCCAGAGAATAGCCCACCGGGTTGAGTTTGCATGCCCAGAAGTCAGACTCAACACACATCTTGAAAGTGCAAGGTTCGCCCATCGCAGCCAGAGCTTCCCTGCTCGACCCGAATCGACCACGACAGCCGTCTTTCCTGCTTTGATCAAACCGGCCTCTGCGAGATCGTCCCTGGTATGAATCATCCGCTGTATAGCATAAGCTCACAACAAGATTGATTGTCTGCGTACGTCCTGTGACTACACCCGATGGCCGGTATCAACCTACATAGCCAGATGTACTGACAAAAATCACCACCTCTCGCATATGTACAGCCCTTCAAGTTGTTAAACAACCGGCCTTACAAATTTCGATTGAAGTCACATTTCGCTCCAGTTCGGTCTTTCCCGTCTGATAGGTCAGTCGTTGTTACCCTCTTGGCTCATCTTTCTTGGGCTGATCCCCTTTTCGAAAGATTGACTAGTCACCCACCTGACATTGACTTCTGTTTTGAAGCGTTTGACATCAATTTTCAATTTTTCCGAAAAAAAAAGACCCCACCAAAATCAACCCGAAAGCACCTGATCATTACGCCATCACCCCCATCCCCTTACATACCTTGTGGCTCCTCAAGCTCAACTCCTTCAAATCAACCATCACCATTCCACTTAGGATCTCAAAAGCTGCCATCGACATTCCAGCACATCAGATCAGACCCTTTTAGTTTAGTTTTTTTTTTCTTTTTCTTTCTTTGAAACCTTTTGTTATTTCCATCGTTTCCCTTTCATTTTACCTCTCCGCTCAACCCTTTCACATTACCTCTCCTTACCTTGATCCTCGATCCTAAGAAACTCTAAAGCAAAACATATATAAATCAGTATTTGGATGGATTGGATAGGCCGGAAGTGATTATATCCTACTCTTACCTCATCATCAGCCACCCCCAGTCTTACCTTACAAATCTCCCTATTATCTCATTTTACCCCATCCTCACATCCCCCTACTGCCTCAAACAGTATCTTCGGGAATTAGTCAAATTAGTCACAGTGGAAGTGGACCTGTGCCGTCCCCGGATTTTTGGCCGATCAACTCAACTTTGAACCCGCCTCCCTCATACATATCGATCTCTTCTCCATCCAAAATATCATCCTTCTTATCACACCGCCCACGAGGGCTCGCTTGTCATCCTGTTGTATCCCTGACCATCGTCCCAAAGACTCTCACAGTCATTGACTCGAAGCCTCTTGAGCGGAAGTTCGTTTCAAAGGCCGAGTCCAGACTCGATCTTGGCTAAGTGCATACATACATACCCAGTGCATCGTCTTTTTATTCTTTACAACGATCTATCATTGTAATACCCTATCTTCGTGCTGTCGCGAGAAAGATCCGACAAACAACTTTCAAGTCAGCTCCGATACAACAACAAAAAATACAATCCTTTGGTATTTTTATATGTAAATGTATACAAGCCACTGCTGCAGCTTTTTTTAGTAGAAGAATCCGATTACCAGCCAGTTTGTACATCAACAACTTCCAATTATTATTACAACAACAACAACAACAACAACCACACTTCATTAAACAAACTCAAGATAGTTCACCCTTCATTCAACCTTTTCCCCACCGTCCAGCTCACCCGTTCCCCCTATCTTACCCCCTATCACCATCTATCTGTCCTTGTTTCTTTCCTGAATCCCCAGCGGTAATCGGTGCGATTGTACAGCCACCATCCTAGCTTACTTGCTTTAGCTCCTGGGTAACTTTCTCGGTTTTTTTCTGTGTTCGTCGTCTCAGATTGCTCTCCTGTATCTGCTCACCAATTCTCACACACCCCATCGATCGGTCGGATTGGAAGAGCACATGAGCTGACTCACGAACAGACCCTCTCTCTTTTTTATTATTATTATTATTATTATTTTTTTTCCGGCGCTTCTCTCCATCCATCCCGCCCAAATACAGCCAACCATCTCGTCGCACACCCCCTCTTACTCATCCCTTTTCTCGTACGCTGGATCTTCCAATGGTCACTTATCACGGGATCAGTCACAGTCACAACACCGCTCAAGATCTAAATCAGTCACCCAACCTCAACCATCCCATGCAGCATCCCAATTCTTTGCACACCAACCTCAACCAGACCCATACCACCCATCCAAGCTCGACAAGCTCGACAAACCACAACCACCACCACCACCACCGCAAGTCTAGTAATGACAACGATGAAGAAGCAATAGCACGCAAGAAGAAGAATGCCGATGCTCAGGCTGCGTTTCGTCAGCGGAGGCAGACCTACATCAAGGTTAGCTCCACACCTTCCCATTCGAGTCACTCTCAGCCGAGCCGGGATGGATTCATGCTGACTACCCATCTCTCTCTCTCTCTTTACCTCTTTCTCCGTTCCTCGCCCTGAGGGGTTCTCTTTCCTTCCGCATCGATCCCCACCCGCGTGTTTCCTCCACATCCTTGACTCTTGGGCTTAAACGATCTGGCGAATCCGTCGATGGCTGGCTACGTACGTAATTCGTTGGTAATGGCTTACGTAATCAACTTACGTACACGTGATTAGAGCTTGGAGGATACGGTGTCAGAGCTCAAGGGTGCGGTAACTGAGATGGTGAGTGGTCTTACTCAACGTGAAAGATTCGGTATATCTACGTACAAGTTGCTGACCACCATCCTGAATCTGATGGTCAACCGCATATCCCCCAGGAGCACATTGTTAAGACGACCAGTCAAGAGGTACGTCTGAGCTGTTATCAAAATGAAGTTGGAGGGGAAACTGTCTTGGACATCTCCACCTGGATTTCTTCGTCCAGCGAACCTCTCAAATCTCCATAATGGCTGACTAACTTGGCTCACTCCTCCTCCCCCTCACAGCTCAAGAATCAAAAGCAACACCTCGAACATCTTCAGTCCAAGCTGTCTGCATACGAGACCGGTGAACTCAAGCCTGGAGCCTTCGAGAACAACCAGCATTGTAAATGCTGCAAGTTTGCCCCTCCCGAATTCAACCCCGCTCTACCCACCCCAACCAATGGCACTCATCAAGTCCGATCGATATCCACCCCAACCACCTCTACCATGGCCATCAACTCAAACGCTGATTGTCCAACGCCATCTGGCCCATCCATTGTTACTCCAACGGTCACCGGCCATGATAATTTGACCCGCGATTGGCCTTCCCGGCAAGGTGTCCCGCCTATGTTCCCCCCTGATTCCAGCTCTCGCTCCACTCATCACAATTCGACTCAAAATTCACCTCACGATGTTCCTCATCCGACAACATCCTTGGATTACCCTCGCAACATTCTTCATCATCAGCATCGTGAGTACATTTGTCTTTTGATCATGTGGGGCATTTGCGATGGGATGTTTGCTGACCCTACGTCACCCTTGTCTTCGTTGTGCTCCTGTAGACTCCAACTCGTCCATTCACCATTCTTCATACCCTCGGCCTGGCTGTGATTTAGCTCTTTTCACTCCGTTTGGTGCCGCTGAAAGTCCACCGATGGCGAACTTTTACTCTTCGACCGAAGCACATCACGGATCATCTTCACAACAGGTACGTTCCGATTTCCCAGCCAGAAGAGCCTGTTGCTCTGTCGAGAGGGTCTCCATGCTAACCAACTCCAACCCAATCTTGGGTGTCTGCTTCTTTGCCAGCACCACCCGCTGGGCACTGCGTATTCATCACTTGGGCACCCTCAATCTTTCGATGCACACCACTCGGGTACTTTGTCGTCCCCTCGCATGTGGTCACACAACAGTCAGACCAATCCATCAACTTATACTGGCACAGATCCCAATCCCGCTGCCAACCTCAATGGCTCTCCGAAACCTGGGCTATATCCGATCGATGGCTCACTTGCCGAAGTTGATTCATCTGGATTTCGCTTGCATCGGGGTATGGGCGAGCGCTCTATGATGCGCCCAGCCGACTACCTCCCCTCACTCGAACTTCGTCCCCTTCCCCAGAGCTATCCCATGGTTTCAACTCTTACTTCCCCCAGGGCTGACAGTCTGGGAGTTGTAGGTCCAAAAACTCGATCATCAGCTTTGAACAAACGTCGTTGGAATGATGACAGATTTGCTTCACATCATGATAATCATGAGTTTGATGAGGCTCCGAACTCTGGAAAAACTGGTGTCAAGTTGAACGGAATCCCTGCTAAAGTTGCCCGATGCGAACAAGTGTGCACAGAAGTTTCGAAGGTTGTTTCTCAGATGAAAGAAGAGTTGAGTTCTGAACATTCCTTTTCGAACAAAATATCAAGAAAACATATTTTTCAACTTTGAAAAAAAAATCAAACCAATTTCCAGAATGTGATTTGTTGACAAAAATTCTTTATCTTACCCCCAAAAGAGTAAAAGCTGTAACTACGTCAAAAACTTCCGCAACTCCCTCTACTGCTCATCAGTCTCTATCACCGAATGCCACATCACCCAATAGCTTTCCTAGCCCACACAATGCTTCACATAACAGTCTCAAGTCACAACGAGTCAAATTCCACGGACCCCCTTCTCAGCTTGCGTCGTCAACCCCACCACTAGCTGGATCTCAACTGCAAGTACAGGAAGAGCCACAGACCGAGCAAGACAATTGCCGATACCAATCCATGATCAGTAATTAATCTGAGGACCCAATCTGTCATTGACATTTACTTACCTCAGCCTTTCTTCTCATGAGTCATTGTGTGCTTGAACAATTGAACAAACTCTTTTTTTGTGCTTTATTGCTTGTGTAAGATTTGTTGAAAACATAGATTTTCAAATGTGCTTATAAGACCCTCAGCTTGTCACTGTTTCCTAACTATGCAAGTAATCAAAATTGGAAAAGCAAAGATGGACAACAAATACTGCTGTTGATTCAAGTTGCTAAGGTGAATGTATACAGTGCCCCTCACCACCTCTCCACCACCCCCTCCAAGGTGTTCCAAAGTTTTGGGTTTGAAAATTTGAAAAAATTTCAAAATCCCGGGGGGTTTCTCGGGGGTCTTGGAGGCTTCTGTACAAAATAAGACATGAAAAAGTCTCTTGCACTCCAATTTTGAAACCAGAATCAGTATATTCAATGGTTATTGGCAAAGATTCTTGCTCCCAGAAGCTCCAAAGAAAGAGGGAAGCACTTTTACCAGTTAAATTGACAAAGAAGATTCAATTGATCAATCCATCTTGGAGGAGGATGGGGGAACTGCATGTACTTGGGTATGTGTTTACAATTCAACTGCTCTTTAAATGCATATTGTGCCCCCTATATACATATTATGGCTCCCTATATACATATTATGGCTCCCTATATACATACTATGGCTCCCTATATACATATTATGGCTCCCTATATACATATTATGGCTTCCTAAAGCCATACCATGTGGTCCAGGGTGGGCTTGGACATGGTGTTCCAAAGTTTGATGCTCAAAAATTGAAAACTTTTTTTTGAGGTACAGTAGCAAGTTGTGGGTGACAAATTCAATTTGCCCTACTCCTGTAGGCCTCAGAAATGTGTAGTACATGCCCATTGAGGCACATGGGTCGGTGTACTCAGACTTCAAAGTTAAACTTTTTTTTTGCAGGCGCGGGGTGGTGGAGAGGTGGTGAGGGGCACTGTATGCATCCACCACTTGCAACGCTGGGCCGCTACACTAACCGTAGCGGTTAGTGTAGCGTAACGCAGCGGAATCGCTGTTAGCGATTAGCGTAGCGTAGCGGAATTCCGCCACGACACCGCTAACGCTACGCGTGTGGGCCACAAAAAAGGGCCCACTACGCTGCGCTACAGCAGTTTTTAGCGGTTTTTGGCCGCTTTTTCCGCTAAAAGCGCTGTAGCGCAGCGTAACATAGCGAAAAACCGTTAAAAAACCGCTAACACTACGGTTTTTAAATGAAAAAAAGCGCCGCTACACTACGCTTTTTGGGCCAAAAGCGTAGCGTAGCGTAGCGGCCCACCGCTGCCACTTGGCAATCACACTTTCCACCAAAAGTTATCAAGTAGAATGAAATGATTTGACTGTACAGCACCTTGATACAATAACACTCAAGCACTGTGAATTGTGTACACTTCAGTAGTTTTCACACATGTGAAGTGTGCACTGCACTGTTGTTTACATCTCAATACATAATCCACACAATCTGCAATCCAAATCTTGATTTTAAACCACAGGTTTAAATGTTGGTAAGTGGCTTTGAGATCAATCCCTCTCTGCCATGGAAGTACAGTCTCAAATGCAGAGAGAGATCCCTTCCCACCATTGAGACTGTACCCTGTACCTTGATCAACGGTGCAACCAATGCAAGACATGTACTTGTAGTGGCCATGTATCATACTTTCAAAGTTTGCAATTACACAGAATTGTATTGTATTCATTCTTGAGTATGACTGAGACAATGTATTTTTACATAAGTGTACATTGGGTAGACAGTGAAAAGTGGCTGCTTATTTTGGATTACAGAGCTCCAAAACAAAGACTTGAAGTCATGAGACTTGGTCAGGTGGTGCATAATAGGTCCCAAAAAATCAATGTGAAAGAATAAAAACAAGAAAATAAAGTTTCAAAATTTTTAAAAAATAAAAATAAAGTTGATTTTTTTCAAAAGCTTTGATATTCATTTTGAGGGAGTGAGAATGCTGAGAGAAAGAAAGAATGGAACATGGGGAGAATGATTATAAATGAAAAAAATTGTAACCAAAAAAAGTTTGGCCAGGTTGGTTGTCCATATTGGAGCCAAAACAGTAAATTCTAGTGCTTTAAGGCAATGTGGGCTGGTGAATGCCCCACTCAACAGCTATTTGAAGCCATCTGGAAACCAATTTTTCCACAATTTTTTCTGATATGTCAATCTTCCTTTCTCTCAGCACTCCCACTCCCCCAAAATGAATATCAAAGCTTTTGAAAAAAAATCAATTTTATTTTTTATTTTCTACAAATTTTGAAACTTTATTTTTTGTTTTTATTTTTTCATATTCATTTTTTGGGACCTATTATCAGCGGTGGGCCGCTACGCTACGCTTTTGGCCCAAAAAGCGTAGCGTAGCGGCGCTTTTTTTGCGCCAAAATTTTGTAGTGTTAGCGCTTTTGTAGCGCATTTTTGCTACGCTACGCTGCACTACAGCGCTTTTAGCGGAAAAAGCGGCTAAAAACCGCTAAAAACGGCTGTAGCACAGCGTAGTGGGCCCTTTTTTGTGGCCCACACGCGTAGCGTTAGCGGTGTCGTGGCGGAATTCCGCTACGCTACGCTTAACACTAACGGAAATTCCGCTGCGTTACGCTACACTAACCGCTACGGTTAGTGTAGCGGCCCACCGTTGCTATTATGCACCACCTGACCAAGTGTCAGCCACAGAGTACATGTCACAGTACCTTTCATGTACCAAGTAACTGCAACACCTGTACTTATATACATAAGTACTTATCCATAATGTTGTTTACCTTCACCACTTGTTATCTTATCTTATCTTATCTTATGTTTATCTTATCATTTAATTACTTATCTATTAAATACATACCTGCTTTATAAATAAGTAATTATAACTTACCTTTCAGTACCTTGTCCGTGAAATACCTGTACCACAAGTTATCCCTGCTATACAGTATTTTCACGGTCAAATATCATTACAAATAAAAATGTACAAGTATTGAACACTGTTTAATAATTTACAATAGAATTAATACATTCAATACATGCACTGATCACAATCATGACTGCATTATTAAAGGATCTGTCAAGTATACACATCAAGAGCTGCTAGTACATTGATCAACTAGTATACAATTATGATGTCACTTACAGATCATTGCAAATATTAATAATGATCAGTCACTCAATTTGATGTGCTCATTCCCCTGGCCAAAGCTCCCTTGATTCTGAGCGCTCAATCTTCCCTTTTCAAATATTCTGGAACTTATAATCCGTGTCCTCTTCACTGATTAATCCCCAGAATATTCAGACACCAGTTAAACACAGTTAACATTTATTTTGATACATTACCTGTAACTCAACTTGAATCAAGTCTACTTTTATTGTTCTTAAGCTTCAGTACATTACTCAACTTATCCACAGTATTCATAGCCTTGCTGAATATTCCCTCAACAATATTTATTAACCTTCAACTAATTTTGTTAAAGCTTAATAAGTATAGTTAGCCCATTCCCTTTTGAGAATAACCAAATCAAACCCAGGTGAGTCTTAGTACCCTGGATGCCTATTAATACCTTGTATTGATCCGGATGCGCTGTTGATAGCAAGCCTCTCAGTAAAGACCATACTGATAGAGTGAAACCTCCTCATTACAGGACTGGTATTAACACCCACTACCTACTACTCACCCGCTCAAAAACACTCAGTCAACTCATAGTAACAACCTCTCACCAACGCTGACACAGATACGGTATCTGCCTGTATCTACCATGTATCACTATGTATCTGAGCCCCAATAAAAAAAAACTATCTGACCAATCTGCTTTTATTTGCAAGGAGATTCAACAAATTTGGTTTTTGGCCATGCAGCTTTGCAGAATTCTCCATGATACACACAGTGTATTGTATCTGTGGCAGCGTTGCTCTCACCCTTAAACACTCAGGTTAGTTACCCAGAGGCTGACACCAAGTCTCATGAGTTCAAGTCTGTGTTTCGGAGCTCTGGAATCCAAAATAAGCAGCCACTTTTCACTGTCTACCCACTGTACTTCCCCCATAATTGAATACACCATACTTGTAAGATTATGTATTTGGGAAAAGTACAATACATGAGCAATACAAGGACATAACTATCACATAATTCCATGTACTCAGATCATCTTACATTCAGCACTCCTATGGCCCGTTACATACATATCACAACTTGGAGTTTGTTTGTGCTTCACACCTTGTTTATTGCTCCTCTTGCCATCATCATCCCCCATGAAGAACCAGAACCCCCCACAAGAACCCCCTTAAAATCTTACCAGGTTGGATTACACAAAATTCAGGAAAGAAACCCCAGAAATCTCACCTCTCAAACTTAGAAAATCAACACTCAAAACCTACCTGTAAAACCTTAAAAAACCTCCCCTCAAACCCTGTCCATCACTCCTCTCAAACCTTATTACTCACCCCTCTCTGCCTCTCTTTACCCCCACAGTGGCAGTGCTTACAGGACTCTCAGGAGCCCCTCTTGGACCCCCAAGAGGCCAGATCTGTGTTTTTTTATGCTAGGATTGTTCTTGGGCCCCCACAACCAGGCCGGGACCCTTGGATTCCACTCAGAACTATTGGGTACATCCCCAGCTGGTCCCTACACCCCTCCAAGGCCTTGGGTTTTTGTCTGGATTGACTGTCAAAAGAAGAGGCTTGGCTTACTCCTGTGTGTACGTCAACCGCCGACAAAGTTGGCCATTGTTCTTCTCTTTTTTATCTTATTCAGGCCTGTTGGCCACTAACATCAACAATGGTAGTGGCTGACAGGCAAGAGGGAGGTCATACTAACCCCCCCTTGCTTTTTTCACAGTAGGGTAGCAAATAAGCAAACCAATTGCTGGATCAATTGTTCAGTAGTCTGTACGTCAACGGCTGACAAAGTTGTTGTCCGTTCTTATTTATCTTCATCAGGCATGTTGGCCTAGTGGCTGACAGGCAAGAGGGAGGTCATGCTGACCCCCCCTTCGCTTTTGTTCATAGTAGCAGTATGTAACAGATCCGATCCCCGATAAATACCGATCCGGGGATTGGATTGCTTACAGTTTGGATGATACCCAAGTGTAAGGCATACAGCCCGCAGCATTTGGGTGCCGGATCGGGATTGCAATGCGATCCCGATCCCAATCCGATACCATGGGATCGGATCACCCTTAGTGATCCAATCCCTTATTTTTTGATACCTGGTATCGAAAAATCGATCCGATCCGATAAATTGGCC